ATGCATTATTAACAGTAAATAGTGTTTTAATAGTGTATATGCGATAGAAGATAACTTAAGTCTCTTTAGCAAATACTAATTTACACCAATAAGATACTATTTTTAATTTAATATCAATGTCCAAAGGATATCTACCAAGTTCCCCATATACCATATAGATAGGTGTGGAATTTTTCAGTTTCAAAAGAATTTTACATAATTTCAGATGGATTCTTTCTATAATATCAACATTACCATGCCCCCAAATTTCACATCCATACAAAAGTATGGGTTTCACAACTTTATCGAAAAGATCTAAGTGACACTGAAAGGAAAGATTATGTATGTTTCCCCGTTTAGCCTCTTTCATCACTGGGTAAAGTTTGCGTCGTCTATTTTCGATTTCTTGCGGAAGTTGTTCTTTTATTCCGTATTGCGTTCCTTTCAGACTGTCACGAAATAGAATTTCCTTCATAATATAAGTTCCAAATGGAATAAATATTCTGGAATATTATTTCCACTGGAATAAATATTACAGTATATGTTCCTAACGGAATAAATGGTATAGAATATTTGTTCCATCAGGAACAGATATATTATGACATTGTTTATAACAAAGGTTCCAGTGGAACTTCTGTTAGGTGGAACAAATATACGTTGACTAGACGCTATGCTTTCTCAAGTACATGCTGGAAGTCATCTCTGTAAAGAAATCTTGCAACTATAGGTTTTGGGCCATTTCTAGAATTTTTTCCAAAGCGGTGCACATTTCCAAATTGAATGTTGTGCTCTGTACCAAGTTCAAGTTCTTTGTACAGAAACAAGCGTAGCTTTTCTATAGTGTTTTCATACTTCTCAGAGTATAAACCTGTGAAAATAAGGCTATTTTTCATCGACCGGCACTGTGGTCTAATACTGATTCTTTCAATGCCTTTATTTCGTGTGATATGTGTTGGTCATTTGTGTTTGTTTTTTACTTAACTTTCTCATCTATAGCGTGGATAGTTTTTGTTACTTTGATTATTTCCTTGGTGTTTATTTCACACTTTTTTTTCGTTTCGTCAAAAATGTTACTTAGGCCTTCAACGTCTGTTTCAAATTGACCGCATGTTTGTCGGATTTCTGTTACGTCGTTTTCTACTGTACGGACTTTGTAACCGAGGGAGAATACACTAGATTTCAGTTCTTCAATACCTCCGACACCGTTCTCATTTTTTTGTAGCCTTTTATCTATGCTTGTCACAAGCCCTATAAGGAGATTAAACATGACAAAGGTAGATTCTTGCCCATGATACAATATAGTTCTACTTTCTTCAAGGAGTTTGGAAGTCTCATTTAATGACATTTTCACTGTAGCGTTCAGATATGGTAATTATTTGCAAGGTTAAAGGTCAATTTGCATAATCAATAGTCGGGAATGCCTTCCTACAGTTGATACACATCGGCTTAAAGTTATGTATGGCCTGAGGTCACAATGAGCATTACTCAGTTGAAAAATAAACAGGGTCGTATTGACTTATGAAAATCATCTTTACAAAATCTGTATTGATTTTTAAATTACGAAAATGTATTCTTTGATAAATAAAACAGCTCCTACCGAAGTTTCAGGAATATCCATTAGTGAAATCCTTCCTTTTAGGTAAATAAATCTCAGAGCTCAGAAGTAGTAACAGTGGTTTGATTCCGTCAGTGTACTTCATCCAGAGGATGAAAATTCCTAGTCTTTTTTATCCACCAACAAAAATTCACTAGGTTTTTTAATCCGGGTCCAGTGTAAAATATCCACCACCCATCATAAGATTCTAAAGAGAGTTTTTTGAAGGGGAAATATATAAAAAAAAATAGGGGCTTGGTATTTTTTGGGGGTATTTGAATTAACTAAAACTTGCACAGTTGATTTATGTAAAAAATGGACAAAATAAACTAGTGTTTTTCATCCAAGGAATGATCACACAAGTGTTTTTGAACCAGGAATAATTACACTAGTGCTTTAGAACCAGGAATGATTACACTAGTGATTTTGTACCAGAAATTACTGCACTAGTGATTTTGAACCGGGATTTATTACACTATAGTATTTTAGATCCATACATTGATGAAGTGTTTTAGTACTCATTTTGAACACATGATAACACAATAATGCTTTATGCACGAATTATATTTAAATAATTTTTGTATGCAAATCCATAAAATCATATGCTTTTAATATATTCTCACTAATTGTAATATTCATATATACTGGAATGCCGAAGTTTTTCTGTGCATTTGCGTTTTGGTCGACTTGGAAATAAAATCATATCTTCTATGTCAATATCTATATTTCATAAAAGACTTATAAAACGATAGATTGATTCAGATTAATTAAACGGGTTCCTTAATTGAAAATTTTTCTAATTTTAACCCATTAATTTATGTAAACAATAAACCGGTCTAATATAAACAATACAACGATATCAAGATCGACGCTTGCACACTATTTACATCCAATATTCTCTAGTGAAAAACAGTTACCCGGAATAAATACACGGTGGAATGAAATTACGCTAACATTTGTAAAGTAACACAACTACATTCCAGGGGCCATAACTCCTCAACCTGCTCAAGTCTATACCAGTACAACGATATTTGTTTTTAAAAGTCTAAATATATTGGGTATATCCCAAGTTCTGAAAGGACTGCTATGTTTGTACAGAGTTTAGTAACACAAAGAATGTGTTTACAGAATTTTAAGTTAAGCTTTTCAATTTCCCGATCTTTGAAAATATCAAATAGAGAAATAGTTTTTCTTTTTCGGGTAATGTTCATGACTCCCCAGTTCTCACAATTATACAACAATTATACAACACAGTGGAATGAATGCAATGATAAAACATATGTACAAAGGTTTATCTGAATAGATGGATCTGAAGATTTCATATCTCTAAATATTATGAAACTTCCTTTCATTCCCTTTTGAAACAATTGTTTGGTTTTTTTTTTGGCTTCTTCCCTTTTGAAACAATTGTTTTATGGCTTCATTAAACTTTCCACTGCTTTCAATTATAAGGCCCAAATACTTAATATTGTTTGACACATTCTAGAGTATCAGTTCCAATATGAAACATGTCAGTCATTAGCATTCCAATTTTGTTAAAAATGATTACCTTTGACTCTTTTACATTAACTTCTATACACCATTCAGTAAAACAAATACTTAAAATATCTAGATTTTGTTGAAAATCGTTTTTGATGTCTGAAAATAATAATAGATCATCTGCATATAAAGGGCAAGGAATTTTCTCGCCATCCAAAGTGATTGAATCTGTTTTATCATCAATGATGGTGGAGAGATCATTTAGAAATTTTTTAAAAGACTAGAGCTTAGAATATTGCTCCGACCTCAGATGTGAAAAACTCTGTCATTTTATCACCAACCCTAACGCACAGTCTGTCATTTGCATACATTGATTTCTAAATTCTATAGAAACAACCATTAACATTATATTTGTAATTTGTACATTACACCAACATGAATAACTTTGTCAAATGCTTTGCGAAAGTCTAGAAAGCATGCATACAACCTTTTATCGCCAGATTTTATATATTTATCTATTATTCATTTGAAAAAAAAAAAAAAATGATCAGAGGTGCGTGATCCCTTTGAGATACCAAATTGGGTCTCGTGTATGATATTAGGCACTGGTTACGGTAACTCGCAAATAGTAACAATAAGAAAACTACTGTTACTTCCGAAAATAATTGCCGAGATAAATTTCCGGAGAGAGAGGGGCCCAATTTACGAAAATTTCAAGTAACAATAAAATATTTTTATTGTTACCTGCAGTTATTTATATCCGCAATAATATATTAAAAATGTTTGATTTGCCAGCAATCTGTGAAATAAATATAATTAATATGATTAAACTTCCAGATATTGTGATAGTTGTGGTTTTGCCATCGATATGGTGTTCGTAATAAAATATGAATTTGCGTAATTTCTGGACTCAAGTTAACAGAATTTTCTCAGTATTCTTACCGGTGTTTATTTTCTATGTCCTAGGGGTTTTAAATCCATATTCTTCAAAAGCTTTTAATTTTCATTCATTTTATTCTCAGCTGATTTCACCGTCAAACCAGAAGTGGGAACTTCCCAGCAAACACACAACATTTTAAAAACATTTTTTAAATGTCATATGGACGTCTTTCACAAAATATTTCAATAAGATATCATTTAAACATAAAAAAAATGTTTATTTTATTGTTTTTGAAATGTTTTATTTCTAACATTTAAGTAAAATGTCTTTACAACATTAACAAAATATTATTTGCTAATATCTTTTATTCATGTTCTCAAACATTGTTCTAAAATATCCCGTAGATATTTTATAATATAAAAAAATAATATTTTCTTCAATTGGTATTTTATATTTTAACAACATTTAAAGTAAATATTTTCAAAATATCCAAAAAACATTCTGCAAAAAAATGTTTTACAGAAAATATAGTTTTGCTATTTGCATAAAATGTTTTATAACGTAAAATTAAAATGTTTTACATAAAACATCTGAAAAATATCAGCTAAATGTTTTCTATAAAATATTTTGACAAACACATTATTTAATAGTCTTACTGATATTTTATTCAACATTTTACGGATATAAAAATAACATTTTATTTAAACTTTATTCAAAACCCCACAAACAACGTTTTGTGGAATTAGCTCGTTTTTTTCAGGATAAGATATAGTACTACATTTCATATGCAATATCATGACAAGCAAGATACTATGGTTGAAATCCTTACTTGATATCTTGAAGATCCTTGAAGTCAGATTTTATTCCTTCTTATATTAAAATTCAAAAGAGTCAACATTAAATTAAGCAATAATGTATTAATAAACAATCACCTGTCTTTAATGTTTATTCATTTCGTTCGTGTATATTTTAGAAATTAAGAAATGAAAACTGTAACTGTACTAAGTTCAATTTTCGTATCGTTTATATGCCTTACGGAAAACCGACCTTTTCCGGAATCGACTTTTGTTTTATCACCGGAAATGATTTTGAAAGGAGTAGGTTCAGTAAGACCCCTTTTTGGCCCCAAAATATAGCAGTTTTACAAAATTGTTAAAATGTAAACTTTTAGCTATTCATTTGAAAGTAGAATACTTCTGTTACATACATATGGGCTGTTTTTGATAATACAATGCATATTTATCGGGTACTAGCATCATTAAGTCATGCTAAATTACTGAAATCTTCATAATTTTAGCATTTGAGTTAATTTTTAGATGGTTTCCGTCTTAAATGGACGTGGCCGCATTTGTGTTCATTCTTAATATTTAAATGTAAGTTGTATTTGATGATAATACATAACATATATAAAGGTTGAAGATGAACACGGATGCGGCCACTTTCATTTTTGACAAAAACCATCTGAAAAGTGACATATTATGGCATATTTGATAGATTTATAACATTTAAGCTTGAATATGAGCGTTTTTAATGACTAAATCAGTTCACATAAATAAATTGATTCTACTAAAGTAGACACTTAAATGTTTAAAAAGTGTCCAAAATCTTTCATTAGATGAACCTGAAATTTGGGGCCAAAAACGGCCCTTACCGGACCTACTCCTTTGAATTTCGAAACGAAGACAGGATATCAACAAAGAGAGCCAAGAAAATTGTTTGTTACGCGATATATACTCACTTGGTAAGAATGATTAATCTGTTAAGATGAAACTTGTTCATTCATTGTGTGTGTTCAATCATAATCGGAACCAAATTACATCTGTTTCTGGAGGTGCGGATCTGGTTTGAAAAAAAGGGGGCCCCTGCCCAAGGCAAGCAAATGTTTGGAGTGATACTTGTAAATAGTCTATACATTTATCTTATAAGTAGTCCATAAGGGGGTCGGGGCCCCTATATCCGCCACTGTTCAAGCAACTACGTACACCAATTATGAATTTGTTCATTGATATAAAAAAATTATAAGGATATGTGGCTTGTGTGTTTGATTGCCAATACACCTTATCGCTATTCGTCCGCCATTACTGGCCATGGACATCACAAAAGTTCCTGTGAAATGTTGACGTCATATTAGAAAATATTTGACACCACAATTGAAAGTAATACACCTTATCGCTATTTGTCCGCCATTACTGGACATCACACAACTGTCACAAGTTCCCTTAAAATTTTGACGTCATCATAAAAAATATCTGATGCCACAATGGAAAAGTGATTGTTGTTTGACGTCAAAAGTTCAAGCAGGATAGATTCTCGGGTCAAGCGGGAATAGCGATAAGGTGTATTATTGTATGACGTATGCTGACGTAAAAAGTTCAAGCAGGACAGATTTCCAAATACTAAAATAGATAAGGTGTATGAGACAGCTATCCACCAGAATTTAAATGACTTGGATAAAAGAAATTATAGTTCAGTGTACTGCTTTCAAAACTGAGAAAACCAATGCCATTTAGTCCACTTTGAAGCCTTGACAAACAAATGTTAAATTTTTCTCAACACAATTGAAACAAAACAACTAACTGCCTACATTAAATACACATTATGAAAAAGAAATTTCACAGACTTAAACCAACAACAACTATTGCAATAAGCATGACTCAATACCTTGTTTCCGAGGCACACAAACAAGTTACAATAACACTAATATAAGCACCATTTGAATATGGAGATTTTTTTTTCTAGTAAATTCAGTGTATGTATGTATTTGCAAAACAGTAAATTAAATTTCCCTTAACAGCTTAATGAACATTACAAAGACTATGTAAGACTTCAGTACAAGCAAGATAATATAAACTGTTGCTTAAAATTGTATTTATTGCTTCATACACACAATTACCATGATTACATACAATGTATCTTTTATTTTTTAACAGGAGCTAAAAGAAAGGCCACAAAGGACAAGTTCAATATGCAGGTTTACAATTTGGAAGTGGCGCAGGTTCTTTGGAATGTCTACAACCTTTCAGGAGAATTTTTTTTTGAAGTAAGATTTTCATACAGAATTACTGTTATTCCATATTTAATTCAAATATATTTAGCATAAACAATGCATTACATTCAAGATTAAGGGCATACAATACAGAAAAGATATCTGGATATTTGAATAAATTATTTTTTTTGTGACAAAATAGAAACAAGTTGTTTATTTAAATCAATCTTTTAGTCCAACAGTGTGCTTTCATAAACAACATATTTGCTTTCCTTTGAAGTATTTCAAATACATATAAACAACTCATTTAATGACATCTGTGTGTTTCTCGGAAGTTAAGTTATATTATTATCATCATTGCGAAAACAATGCGTAACACTTCGATAAGTTATTATGTGCCTATAGTATACTTCTAGGACTGTATCATATGCCCTTAGATACAAATGGCAAGTTATAAACTATGTCACTCTACAGAGTTTAACACTTAAAAAGGACAATAAGATGTTTAATGACGTTATGTAGCAGAGCTTTTAAAGGCCCCTAAATGATACAATGCATTTAATGAAAACCAAAAAAAAAACAAGAAAAACAACAGCCTGATTTATACAAAACAATAAAAGAAAAAAAATATGATAGACAACAATCAACGAGTATAATGAAATAAGACTCTTGACTGGACACATATCTAGTCTAAAGTTTTTTATGTGTTTTTTTTTTAATAACTAAATGAAGTTCAGCGTGGCATATTGCTCTCTCTCTTAACACGGTCAGCCATTTATCGTCCCCTTCCGACAGACTATCATTGTTATTTGTTTCAAAACTTTAAAGGGGAGGGGATGTATATCCTTCAGGCAACGTGAAATGTCTATAATAAAGGAATGTGCAAGAAGTTTATATATGAATGTAAGATTAATTTTTTTTTCAGAAGCATGGCACAGCAAGAAAAAGATATGACAGTACAAGACATTCCAAGTGATTTTGAATAAGACAATTGATTGACTTTTTCAGTGTATTCTTAAATAAATCAAATAGTTGATGTCAAATGGTGTTGATTATTGACTTAAGATGTAACCCTATTAGAAGTGTAGCGTTTTAGTTTAGAAAGAGAAGTTGTATTGAAAAATCTGAATTTGGGACACAAGTTTTAGTCAATGTAACTTGAACTTAAAAATGTGTATAATGTTTGCATAATGTCCAATGGCATATATGTCATGCATGTTCAGGTTGACATATGCATGATGTGTATAAGATAGGTAATAAAAGTTGAGAGTGAAAAACTAAACATTATACCATTGTGGTTGGAATGTGGGCTTTCTTGCACTGTCTGTTGTCTGTCCACCTATATTTGTCGGATTTTGTCCAACAAAATATTTTTTCATCACTGTTTTTCCCAAAACTGTTGATAAAGATGAGTTCATATTTAATGAACTGCTTGATAGTGATGAACTGTGATGTGTGAACATTTTTGTATCTGGCACCTGTTTCCTGTTTGCTTATACATTGTATTTCAAAATGTTGAATGTTCTCAATTTTTTCATTACTTTAATTAGTAATGCTGATGAACAGAATGACTTCATATTGGGTAAGTGGCTTGACCATGATGAGTTGTGTCTGACATTTTGGATGTGTCAAAATTTGTGGATACTTCTTGTTTTTAGAGACTTTGAATTGTGAATTTCATATGCTTAGCAAAACAACTTATTTATTCTTGTTTGTATATAGAATTAATCACTGTGTATAAATTAATTTATCTAATGATTTGTTATTTAAAAAAGCAGGAAACTCAATCAAAAGTACAGAAATTTTTATATTGATATGATCTAGATATCAACAAAAAACATCTTCTTAAAACATTTTGAAAACATTTTTTAGGCACAGCCTCACTTGCAAGAAAACATCCAAAAAACATTTTTATAACATTATTTGATGTTCATGATGTTTTTCAAACGTTAAGAAAATATTTCTAGAAAATGTTTTTTAAAAGATTATCAAAATGTTTTATACGCCATTTTTTTTCACATTATCATGATATTTCTTTACAACATTTTAATTATATTATGCAAATATTTTAGAAAATATATTAGAAAACTTTTTAGCGATATATATTCTACTATACATTTAATGTTTTTCTCACGTTTTTTTGTGATATTTTGATGACATTAGACACAACATTTTAAAAACATTTTAAAGATGTTTTTGTGTTTGCTGGGTTGGAGTAATTAGGACGACCTGATACCAAGGCCACCAATGGGTCTTCAACACAGCGAGAAAATCCCGCACCCGGAGGCGGACTTCAGCTGGCCCCTAAAACCCCATCCACCCTAACCCTAACCCAAATAATTCAGTCCCTCCCCGTAATCAATCTCTCCTACATGGGAGTAGTACTCGTAGATCAGCGGAATATAGGCCTAACGACTGAACTATTCGTGTTACCCTCACCCATGTTATTGTCAATTTCCACATACATAACGCAGAATATAAACACGTATTAAATTCGCGGATATCGCCGACGAACTGTATCAAAAATATTATGGAACACACAACATAATAATTGCAGGAGACCTAAATGAGGACTTAAACGACACTGCGACGACAAGCAAAAGAAACCGATATCTGAGGAACTTTAACAATTCAGGAAAAACCTTCATCAAGGCATCTGGAGTAGAATGTTCAGAACTTGACTATTTCCTACACACTTTCAAAGACCAGAAGCTATACACAAACAAAACGGTTCTACATTCATTAAGAATGAACGTATCAGATCATCATCCAATACAAATGACGATCGTGCTCGATTTCAGCAATGTCACACTAAAGCAAAGGAAGAGTAGCAACATCACCCCTAAAATAAAATGGGACAAAATGGACATGGACCTATAAAAAGCTATGGTCGATACATCATCAAAGGTGATATAGTTGAAAAACTATCCAATAATCAGATAGGACTGGAGGAATCTATTCAGACGACATGTGAGGTAATGGCTAACTCAGCCATTAAATGTTCTAGCATCAAATCCTTGTACAATGCAAAACCGAAACTCAAGGTATGGATACCTGCAATACAGGGCGCTCTTAAGGAGATGCGGAATAGTTACAATGCGTGGGTAAATTCTAGAAAACACGAAGATCTAAACGATGTCTTTTTCTTGGAAAAACGACGTACAAAACAACAATTCCGAAAGACAATCCGGGTAGAAATCGCAAAAAGAAAAGAGGAAGAAAAAGATCTGATCATGGAAACTAGAACCAGAAATATGAAACTATTCCATAAGCTAGTCAGAAATACCCGTAAAAAAGGCGGAGAAATTATAATGGACTTGAATGTGAATGGACACTGCTATACAGGAGACGAAAAGATACTAGCTGGTTTCAAGGAACATTACCGCACACTGGCAACATACGATGAAAACATTAACATTGACCATGACTACCATCAAAATGTTGAACATGAAATTTGCATAATTGATGAGCTGGTCAAAGGCAAGGACATTCCTGAAGCGTCGAATGAAGAAATTTCGAACGCAATCAAAAATATCAACAAGGGTAAATCTGCTGATTATTATGGCATCACAATTGAACATATCGTTAACGCTGGCGAAAACATAGTCATTTTGCTCCAAAGTATCATAAATGAAATATTCCAACAGGGATATGTTCCAGATCTCCGAAAAATTGGACTCCTGACACCAATTTTCAAAAACAAAGGAAGTAAGAATGATGCAGGAAATTACAGAGGAATAACAGTGCTGCCGGTAGTGAGCAAAGTAATAGACACAGTGCTGAAAAATAGAACACAACCATCAGTAAAATCCGTGCAACATAAATACCAACGTGGATTCACAAGTGGCTCGGGACCAATGAACTCAGCACTACCAGTTGAAGAAGTGTACCGTGAAGTACGTGACGGTGAAACAGAGGCACAAATAATACTGCTAGATGCCAAATCAGCGTTCGACAAAGTATGGAAGCTTATAATAGTCACGAGTTGATCAGCTCTTAGCTCAACTTGTTGACAAAAATAAGTGGTAAAGTCGCATTATAACAAACCTTGTGAACTTAATTTTGTGTACTTGTTTAGTTATTTTCTAAACTTTCCGACTTTCCGAAAGTACACTTGTTAACTTCTTCTGAACAAGTTTACTTTGACAAAGTGAACAAAAAGTATAGACTCGCCTTGTGTACATGGTCTTTGTTCACTTGTAACATACAACTAGTCTGATAGTTGCATTGCAACAAACCTTGTATACTTCATTTTGTTTACAAGTGGAGTTATTTTCTAAACTTTCCGACTTTCCGAAAGTACACTTGTTAACTTCTTCTGAACAAGTTTATATTAACAAAGTGAACAAAATGTATATTCTCATCTTGTGGTGTTGTTTTTGTTCACTTTCCTTGCTAATAATGTTTACTTGTCGAGTTGTTTCTCACCGTTCTCATTTACTGAAAGTATACTTGTATTGTTTTTATCTAACCAAGTGTACTTTTCACAAGTAAACTTATTTCAAAATATTGCAAGTTCACTTGTTGAAAGTCAACTTGGTCTGAAATCTGTCGGCAGGGCTTGATATTTTAACCACGTGGTCTCAGTGTATATTTTGCGTAAAACTCTATCCTGTCTGGAAGCATGGCAAGGAATTATATTTTAAAGGTAAATATTCAAATTTCTTTATTATCACACCTTAGTTAGGAAATGCATGAGTGTTATATCCATCAGCTGTCACCTGTGCATTCCATTTTTAAATCAGAGCAATTGCTGAACGAATTGAGACAGAAATCATACCCGATGTGCTCGTCAACGAAAAACATGGCCGCCATTGCTAAGAAACATTTTGTCTATAGTCACCTACATTTATCGTTTACCTATTCATGAATACATTATCTCGTAAAAATAAAACTTATTATACAGCCGCTTAGCAAGCAAGGCGGTATATGGGTCATTTTCAAAATCCGTCCATATTCTTGTCCGGCTAACCTGTGAGAAAAATACGGCTGTATCATTATTTGAATTTTGGTGTCCTGCATATTGCAACGTAGATTTGTAAGTTCTACTACTTGCAGAAAAAAAATAAGGAATAGGTACCCGTATTTTCTTGGAAATCGTGCTCAAAGCTCTAAAATGACCATAAATATCATGTACCAAAAATACCAAATATCGTATCAAAATAGACATCTTTATAATTATTACAAAAATCATACAATTTTCTGTTTTAAGATAGAAAATACAATGTAGAATGATATTAAAAAGGCATTTAATAGTAGTTGGTTATGGTTTCAGATTTATTTTATTTGTTTATAGTGTCCTTGATATTTTGTCAACTACATGTGAAATGAACACGTTTTTGCTTGCCAAATATAACTAGAAAGTGCCTCAGCATTAACTCTACATATCATGATAATAATGGAAGCATAAAAAGATAACTCTGTAAATGTATCAACAATTATTGGCATTTAAGTAAGTAGAGGTAGCCCCGCATTTTTTTTTAACTTAGAATAAAGAATGGAAACGGAGAATGTATCAAAGAGACAACAATTCCACCAAATGTACAAAACAACCCAAGGCCACCAATGGGCCTTCAATACAGCAAGAAATCCCGCACCCAGAGGCGGGCTTGAGAAGGCCCCGAAACACTAATGTATACTAGATTGGGAAAATGAACGCCACTCTACATTACGAACCATAGAGATGAACCAAAATTAAAAAAAACATACAAGTCTAACAAATGCTAGAGGTTCCTGACTTAGGACAGGCGCAAAAATGCGGTAGGGTTAAACATGTTTTGTGAGATCTCACTTGGTAAAAGAGAGGCGAAAGATACCAAAGGGACAATCAAACTCAAATGTGAGAACAAACTGACAAAGCCATGGCAAGACATGAAAAATAACGTAAAGACACACAGCAACACACAACACAAAATATAAAAATAAAAACTGAGCAACACGAACCCCACAAAAAAACCGGGGTGATCTCATGTGCTCCGGAAGGGTAAGCAGATCCTGCTCCACATGTTGCACCCGTCGTATTGCTGAACATACGTATAAATTCGGTTAATACAAGTCTCATATGGTGCTGTCATTTTCAAGAAAAGAGTAGTTATACTTTCATAAATATATTAACTGTAACGGTCAACTACAACTTTATTATGTTGTGGACATTTGTGCTGTGTGGTTGACAATAATGTTATGTAGGGGACAAAAAGCAAATGTCAAAATCGATCGTTGAACACTGTAATAATCGAAGTAATTAGAAAAAAAAAAATTTATCTTATGATATTTAAGAAAGAGTCATCATTTATTAGTACTTTACATTTAGATATCAACATAATTACTGCCGTTATGTAGTTGACAAATTCCTTAATTTCTGTTATCTCAATTTTCATTAAAAATAAT